CTCCGGAGCTATGTTATGTGTTCAGCATAAGTTACCATGGAGATCTACCCCGGTAAGAAGTGAACCAGCGTCGTAGGACCGGAAACCCAGAGTTAACCCTGAAGTTACCTCTCTAACCCAGAGTTAACCTGAAGTTACCTCTGTTGTTTACGTGTTGTTGTTTACCTGTTGTTTACATGTTGTTGTTGCAGCGGTGTGTCCGGAGGAGGCTGAATCAGCTCTGGAGGCGACTCACTTCTTCACAGAGAATGAAGCTGAAGGTAAACTGTGTGTGTGTGTGTGTGTGTGTGTGTGTGTGTGTGTGTGTGTGTGTGTGTGTGTGTGTGTGTGTGTGTGGGCGCGCGCGCGTGCGCGTGCGCGTGTCCTCTTTCTCACACTATGCTGTCTCTCCTCGTCTTCCTCCTCCTCCTCCTCCTCCTTCCAGAACCTTCCTTCCTACCTGCTGTGGGCTCTTTGGGGAAACAGGAAGTGACCTCAGGTGTGTGATGTCACTTCAGATGTTTTCATTAATATCTGACGCTTTCACTTTAACTAACCTTGTTCTCATGGTAACGGTGGATGATGCTGATGACTTCCAGTTTCTGCAGGTGAAGAGGACGTAGGAAACGAATCGAGGAAAGGTAAGCCACGCCCCCTGAGAGAAATATAAGAGTGTGCTATACTATACATCGATGTATAAAACGGACAAGTCAAATCAAGCAATCTGATTGGTTCTTAGCCGTGATATACTGAGCGTATACCACGGCTAGAATTGTAGTTACTTTTCACAACAAGTCAGTATCCCTCCGCGTCTGAGAAAAACTGTATACAGTTGGGCTGAAAAGCAAACTTTTCAAACTGGAACAAGAAAGCAGCGGAGAAGTAACGGGGCAGAAGCCCTCCTTTTTACGCAGCGGTCCAGACATAGAAATCAAACGGCGACACATATTCAGTGTGCAGTTCCTTTGGCATTAGGGCAGGGATATCTAGATACTTTCCAAGGTTTGACATAATGAATTGTGCTACTTTTAAAGCAGGCAGCGATGTTTTCAAATCTGTAATCAAAAAGCTCCTCAAAAACGCTATCGAAGCAGTTCCTGCCGTTGCTACGTTAGTTCAAACAGTACCAACGGACCTTCATGCCGATCTAGATCCCTCCGCTTCGCGTCGGGCTCCTGATCAGCCTGTCGGTGTTCTTTTCCCCATAATGACCGCGTCGCAGCACATTATCCCTTACATATGATGTAGCATGTCAACTCAGGATAATGTTGAGTGGCCAAGAATAACAATGGCAGTTGGTTATGCACACCACGGATTAACATTTTAATGGTTTGGGAAATGAGTGAGTAAAACATGAAGTGAACACGCTGCACCAGAAAGTACATTATTATTATTTAACATGCTCTGTCAGGCCCTTAGGAAGATAATAACCACAACTAATTCAAGAGAATCTTAGGAAATGAAGGGAAATTCAATCACTTTTGGACACAAATGACACTGCAGATTTATGTTTTATAGTCTGTCACTTAGAGAGGCACATTTAACAAAGTGTATCAAGGGGAAAAAAGGGACCCACGTATTCATTATGCCACTCACTAAAATACTGCAGTCATGCTTGTAGCTCTATGCTAACATGCTCACAATGACAAAGCTAAAATGCTTAGCAGGTATAATGTTTACCATCTTAATTTAGCATCACAGCTTGCTAACATTTGCTAAATAGCATTAAATGCAAAGTAGAATTGATAGGAATGTTTTGTAGGTATTTTCTGATAAAGCAATTATTATTCTTATTGTACTGAAATAGAGGAAATCTTAAAGGATCAGCAAAGTGATAGCAATTCATCCTGAGAGGGATATGTGTGGGGAAAAAGGTCTCCATCCAACAACAAAAACAAATAGAAATGTCAACCTCATTGAAGTCCTAGAGAAAATGTCAGGCAAACTCCAAAGTCAGTGGGCTCCATCAACAGCGAATCATCAATGTCTGAACAAAATGTCAGTGTCATCCATCCAATAGTTAAGATATTTCAATCAGAATCCAAAGAGCTGGATCGACAAATGAAAAAGTATGACCTTAACAACAAACAAATATATATGAACAGTTGACATGAGCACTGTTTAACGACACATACAGAGATGGATCACCTATAAATATAGCCACTCTAACCCCAATAAGACTGTTTCACTTCTTTGTAAGGTTGGGATTTTTCACTTGCCTTTAAATAACTAACTGTTTCCTGTCAAATGTGTCCAGACGCCAGGCAGAGTGTGCCAAAACAGCCCGAATCCAGATGGCCCTGCCAACAGGCAAACCTGGCGGAGGCACTGCCAACAACCTGTACGAGGAGCTTGGTGACAACGCCATGTAAGTGAAGTGTGAAAGTGGCATTTGCATTAATGAGCCAGAGCTGAGGCATTAACTCACATTTCTATGGCTGTTAAACTTCAGCTCCACACTTTGGCAGCGTGCCTTTTTCCTACTTTGAGAGCTTCGTGGTATCCAGCCATGCAGTCAGCTGAATAACATTGCATCTCTACATTTTTAAACAATCACAATTTCAAATGGCAAGGGAATGATAACACTAACACTGGAGAAATAAGGAAAATAATCATAAACAATATGAAGAAGAGATTAAATTAGTCATTATTTTAGATGGGTCTTTGTATCAAAATATAAAAGATGCTTCACACTGAAGTAGAGCTAAGGTTGTTTTCATACATTTCAGAAGTAATGTAAAAAGGGACAAAAAGAAAGGAAACAAAGATGGCTCCACACACTTGGGACTAATGCACTTTTGAATATAATTTACTTAATGAAAATTTCGGAGTGCTTTCAAATACAGAATCTGAAATAGGACAGAAAACATTACATTTAACATGACATTCAGATTCAGCCACAGGCTCGTACTAAAGTTGTTTTGTTGAACTTTCCACAATAACTCGTAGATTTAGAGCCTTTGAAAGGATGTATCATCGGTGTCTGTTGAGATGTGGCCTCATGTGGCTCTTTTTTTGACATTTCACTTTGTCCAATGGCCAAAATAACTGACACGACATTAAGCAAAGCCGTGTAACCCGACATCAAACTAACACTACTCAGATTTTTGAAAGGAATAAACCCTGCAATTTTATCTCTCAGTTCAGTGGCATTCAGCTCTTTCCTTGTCAATTTCCTTTCTTCTAATGCCCTCACTATACAAAAGATAAACTGAAGGCCAGACATTCAGCCTCTCAATTTCACTTTAAGATTGTCATTGCTTGGCGGCTTTCAATACCGCTGTTCAAAATAAAAATCCTCAAAATTAATTGTATAAGATTGACCAATATGAGCCTATTGAATGTTTGCTTTGCAAGTCATTTGTTTGTTTTTAAAGTTGTAGTATTCCTAATCATAAGGTTGCGGACATGGCCAGCAAATTGAGCAAATACAAATGCGCTTTTTCAGATGATTATGGGGAAATTACTTTTAATTAATTCCATTCTACATCTCAACTCCTAAAAGTGCTGATTACTATTCTCTTCTGCCTCAAAAAGTTGCTTTATTATTGGGAAATGTAGCCCCTTCTCTTCACCACTTTCTGTATCTTCCTCATTTCTTTGTATCTTCTAGCGAATTCAGTTTTAATTTATCCCCTTCCGATTTCTCCTAGTTTGACACATTGGTTGATTTGGTTAAACAAGTCTAATAGTGACTACAGTATATGTACATACACCGTATTAACTTTTATCTGAACGTTTTAACAACCTCACACACACACACACACACACACACACACACACACACACACACACACACACACACACACACACACACACACACACACACACACACACTCAAGGCAATTCACTGATAGTTCATTTATAATTCCTCACTGGAGCGTTAAGAAGAAGTTGAGAGGAACCCTTATCAGCATTACATGCATCACCGGTTCCCTGTCTGTCCTTGATATGCCTCCCCACTCCTATTAACATGAGAGCAATTCATATGCAAGATATAACAAACTATCTCCAAATGACAACAGGGGAATTCTCTCTCTCTCTCTGTGTGTGTGTGTGTGTGTGTGTGTGTGTGTGTGTGTGTGTGTGTGTGTGAGACCAGCCCAATCCTCTGCTAACCCTCCACCAATCCTCTGAAAATTGTGTGAGGAAATGAACTTGGTTATGAGATAACTNTTACTGTTTTTTACTTAAATAAAACATCTGCCACAGTTTGACAAGGTGATCATAGTTTTCATCTATGAATTTGCAAAGTAACTATAGTTGATATATGTATAAACTGACATATATATAGTGTACAGGGGGGATTTGAACATGCACAAATCTATATTCTCAATTATAAATGTGTGTAAGTGTAAGCAGCTTGACCGAGCTGTTATAGACTGGATGCATATTTCTCAGGGCGAGCACGACTCTATGACATTTGAACTGCCCCATTCAGTGGTGTTAACAATCCTGCTTTGTCATGGATGAGAAAATATGTGAATATCTGGTAGGGTGTGTGTGTGTGTGTGTGTGTGTGTGTGTGTGTGTGTGTGTGTGTGTGTGTGTGTGTGTGTGTGTGTGTGTGTGTGTGTGTGTGTGTGTGTGTGTGTGTGTGTGTGTGCGCGCGCGACCAGCACAATCCTCTGCTAACCCTCCACCAATCCTCTGAAAAATGTGTGAGGAAATGAACTTGGTTATGAGATAATTGAAATAAATGCAGCCCATAATTTATAAAGACCACCCTGGGCGGTAATTAATTCTATTGATAAGCGTGTGTGTGTGTGTGTGTGTGTGTGTGTGTGTGTGCCAGCCATCTTGTAGAGATTAAATAATCCCTAAAGAGGCTAAAACCTGGAAAGTGCAAAAATGTGCACTTTCATAATTAATGTCCATTATCAAACTGCTCAGTGGACTGATTTTTTTCAAGGCCTTTTTTTCAACTTTTAATTACCTTTGGCTGTTCTCTTGACAGAGTTGGGTTTTTAATGTCTGTTTTCAATTACCTACTAGTAATGAAGTGTTCCTTAACTGACTTTTAAGAGACATTAAATTAAGCATGTTTTTAAAAAGTTACATATATGCAAGGTCATTTAGCAAAATGCCACATTTTATTGTCATCACTTGTGTTGTTTGAGTTATACACATAGCAATAACTTAAGGTCATTACTGACTGTCTTTTATCTGCTATTTTAATTGATTGGCCAAGTACAATTCTTACATAGTAACAGAATGATATGCATTGGAATATCAGCTATTTTAAAATGAAGTTATTATTTTCCAAGTATTCATTCCAAAACAACTATTTAAAAAAAAAAGTGACTAAAAGCTAAAATAATGTTTTTTGATTCAATTATCCGACATGGTTGCAGGTGTTAAAAATGTAGGAGAATTACTCTTTATTTAACAATAACAGATGTGTGTCAAAATAATTAGAATGGTTTTTATTCCAAAAAAAAAGTTATTTCCCAACTTTGAAACTTGTCATTTCATCACTATATTTTTTCCTATTCTCATGTTGAATGGTCCATCTTCCATTGTTCTGCTCCATCCACCTTTTATCTTTGACCGACAGACAAAAGTGAGTATATGATGCTGGAAATTGCTTCACACCTGGGATTAGTTTGATACTATGCTGTCAGTGTTCTTGCCTTAGTTGTTTTTGTATCCGTTCTTGTCAGTGGTTCATATGTTATGTGTTATGTTGGTAGATCAGAGAGCAAAGCTTTGTTGCTGAAAGTATATGTGGTTGATTGGTTATACAATTTGCATTTGTGGATTTAGCTTGGAAGTAGCCAGCCATGTGCCATGAAGAAAGAAGAGAATGCAGGGTTTCAACAAAGACATAAACTAAACAACATATTTTCCAGATCACTGAACCTTCAGTCAACCTGTCTTTTGTTGAAGGGAAAATCTGCATACTCTCAGAACTCCATGGCACAGATATCCATCCCTGCCCCAACAGATCCTGCATTGTTTTCAGTCGTGATGCCGAAGCGTCTTTGTAGCTCGCCGCTTTTAGCATACATTAAACATTTCCCATTGTGTTTCAAGAATATTTTGTAATGCTCTATCCCATGTCCCTCTGGTACAGACAGCACAAAGAGAAATATGTCACCTCCTTTAACACCCCTCATCGTTTCCCTCTCATCCCTGTCCTCGTTTATCTTTTTATTTAAAGTGAACTGTCCTTTCACTTCATTTGTTTTTCTGCCTTTATGTATCCTTCTGTTGTCTCTCCCCTTTATAAAACACTTCACTTAACCATTCGATGCAGTTCTCCTCTTTAATTTTAATTTAATTCAGTCCCTATCTCCCTCTTCTATTTAATTTGGCCTCGATTTATATAATTACATCTTTCCAATTCACTAAACATTCCTCTTCCTCCTTTTTTTATCTGCAATTCCTTTATTCCTTCCTTCATTTCATCTTTTTTCTTTCTCACATTTTCTTTCATGCATGTAGCCATCGGTCAAAACACAGTGGTCGCGGCAGCCGTGGCAGTTTGGACGAAAACGACCACCAACGTCTGATCTCAGATTTCGCCACACGAGCTATTGCGGCCCATCGTCAGTGCGTTGCTAACGGACGAGTTCTCAACAACCTGCCCAAGTCTGAGTCCAACATCACGTTTCTCTCAGATGAAAACCCCCTGACAATCAAGAACCCCATCTACCATGAGGATGGGACTTTGAGTAGCCCAGAGACTCTTGGGAGAAGCCAGAGGAGAAAAGATCTTCTTGGGGATTTTTCCCCTTCTAGGAAAGGAATCCAAGAGGCCTGGCTGAGGCTGAGCTCTTCTGGAGGGGATGTGGGCTTCGGAGGTTACAGTGGCAGTGACAATGGCTGGGGATCAGGAGGTGGGTACAGCTGGACTCTCCCATCAAGGTTACATCGAAGGGAGATGTACGACACCTTGAGAAGGCAAGTGGTCATGGATCCCATTCAGTGGGAGCTGGAGCTTCTGAAGGCCGAGTTCAAGGACAGTAAAGATGCCGGTCTGGATTCAGGATTTGAGCGTGGGTTGGATTCAGACCTGGGGAGCCCGGGTCTGGAACCCAAGCTGACGGTCAAAGAACAAGCCCGGCAGTTTGAGCAACAGGCGCTCCAGGAAATGAGGCAAAGGCAGAACAGAGGTTCTCGAGGATCTTTGTCGCCGGACATCATACTTTCTATTTACCCGGATTCTCCTCCACATCCAAAGCACACCCCCACCCACTATGTTCTAACACCTCAGACCAGAGAGGGTCCCCCGAGTATCATCGTCACCCAGAGCGATGGAGGGACCCCTCCACCGTGTCACAAGCCAACTCCTCCTGTGTTGAGGCGCTTCGGGGCAAATCTAACAGGAAATCAGAGCGCGGAGGAAACACTTCAGGTCCATTT